TTCTTTGTTCTAATGGCAAGTAATTAGAATGACATGGGGAGTGTTTTCTAAATAAATAAAAAAATATTTAGATGCGAAAAACTGATACATTATTGACACGGTCTCTACTATATTTGTTGACATACTCTTCAATAGAAATGTTAAGGAGATTCTCTTAGAAGTGAGACTCTTTATGTACTCTCCTGCCATCTCATGTTTTTGGCACAATGTTTTATAATGTTAGCACGAGAATTGACGTTAAATTGTCAGGTGGCAGAGAACTCGAGGAGAGTCCCCACTTGTCTCCTTAGCACTCTCCAATATACTAATTAATTAACACACACAAAACTTACACATTTACTGATACATTTTCGAATATAAGTGAGATCCACATAAATGATAAAATCCACACGTTAAAAAATGTGTCAACACGTGCATCAGTTTTGTATGAAAAATAGCACTATCCATGTTAATTAGTATACTAAGCAAATAAAACGTAAGTGATAACGTCAACGTTCTAACATTCAAAATATGTACGTAGGTGCTTATTGAGACTTGTGCTGTGCATAAAGCGGGTCTGGAAATAACTTTGCGGTTTCTGTGGCTTCTTTTTCCAAAAGCCAATTGAACACAAACACTTTATAGCAACAAGCTCTTGAATTAATACCAAATGTGTTGGCCTCGATCGTCAATTTAGAAATTTAGTAGTTGACTTGAATCTGAATTCACTAAACACATTACAAACTAAAGGTTTCCTTCATTTTTTTACCTAACACTGAGAAGCCGTGTTAGAACTTACCTCCAGTACGTCACATGATAGTCTAAGATTTTGATATAAATGCACGTAGTACTTCTATAAACTAACTACTGTTACGGATCACTACAGTAACTTTACATAAACTTATGCGCAAATGTTTTTCCTTAGCGCGAAAACTTTACTCGATGACCAAAGCTTTATCTATCAAATTTTTTTCGTTGGGCAAAAGCCTCTGAAGAAATCTAAACGTTGTCTGTTTTTGCCCAACAAACAGTGGCCTTATGTTTGGTAAAGACAATTTGCTAGACAAAACTTCATCGGACAAACAATAATTTTTAATAGTGAAGCCAGATATACAACAGAATACAATGCCAACATACAAGTTGTAACATTAAAATGGGACGTATCTAGTATTCCGAAAAATAAAATGTTAAAATGTAGCAAAGTGATTAAGATGTTTGACGTATCCTTATATGTCCTAGCTAGGAGTCACTTAATATTACACTAGCCTCCATGCACGCGTTCACGCATGTGCAGAAGACATTTTTTGAATCACGACGTGTTACGTGTGATTTACATGTTTTAAATGTATTTATTAATGTAGATGGAAATGAATAAAAAAATACATTTAATAAAAGCAGTCTTTTAACTAATTAAAGCAACTAAATCCATATTAATAAAAGCGGTATTTCAATTTCCATTTATATTTTATTGAATTTACATGAATATTAGAAAAAATAATATTTAATAAACAACTGATTATTAGCTCATTGTGAGGCTAAGCCCACTCTCTCCCCTTAATGTAGATAACATCGTTTGTTAAAAAATGTTTATTTGACAACTAATTGAATTACATTATTATGCGCGTGCGAGAGACTTTTTTTTATAACTAGCACTATGCACCTCTTAAGTATTTAAAATTTGAGACATAATATTTAATAAATAACCTCATGCAAAAGGTATTTTTTGAATCACAGTGCGCTACATGCGACTTAGACATTTTAAATATATTTATATGCATGAATTGCTTCAATATCTTTTTATTTCTTTATTTTCTTTTTTTATCACCGGCGTTACACGCCTCTTAAGATGTTTTAAACACAACATTCATGATTTTTCTTATTTTTTATTATATTTTTCTTCCCCATCACTTGGGCACCATCAACTTTGTCATTTGTTTATTCTTTTCTCTCTCCATTTATATTTATGTTATATTTTATGATGACCAAATTACCAACTTACCCTTGCATGATTTGATATATTATTTTGAACAGGTTTTGAATTTTTTTGACTAAGGGGCAGTTTGGCCTAATTTTTTTGTCAAAGGGGTGACACCAAAGTTTTTGTCACATGCTCGTCACCCCAAATTTTCATTGTTCATCACACTGCTCGCTTTATATATAATAAATGCTAGTGTTATTTATGTTCATTTATAAGTAAAAATTCTTACGTTGAGCTACTATAAATAATGAATTTAATGTCAATTAATTATAATTCGTTCATTGTGTGATTAACTGAAGTCCGTCACCCTTAATATGCATTTCGCCATTGAAAATTGTCTCCTTACTGCCAATGACAACTTGTACTAGCATGGCCAGAACAGAATCGAACTAGAAATCGCAATAAAAACCAACTTTATATATAAACATGAACTTCCGCCACGACAAATCCTTAAGAAAATAAATTAAAGAAATTCATTTCAAAATTATTGGACTAAATATTTTAGACATGTGCAACAAATGACGCCCACAACAATTTATTAAAAAAGAAAAGAAAACTTATTTTAATTAGTAAGCATATATCAATTACAACTCAAAGAGCTGCCATTATAGAATCTACGTACTCATCAGCTGGGGCTCCTTCAATAATATATATCAAATTTCTTTAGTGCTCCATTTCAGTGTAACCACAAACGATTATTTAATCTGTTAACTATTTATCTATAAGCTGATATAATAATTAAGTCCAGCAGAGGCTGCATAGCTGACATCCCATAGGGCCTTGACTTCGTACACTAAGGTCATCTCCAATCGAAGGGTCTAGATGATCAGAGGATTAAAAATAGTCCGAAAATTATCTTCAACCGAAGGTTTGGCCAGAGGGCTCATAAACCCCACAGAATCTGAAAGGGCCAAAGGGCCAGCCACATGCAACCAGCCAGTCAGCCCAGGGTTGGCCAGAAATTCAAAAAATCCTATCGGATATAACATACATGAATGCTTAAACAAAAATTTGAATCCAACTGCTAGCTGACTAGCCGTTGTATTCAATTTTTCTTTTGTTTTTTGGGCCTTTTTTTTTATTTTTTAAAAATTCTAATTTTTTTTTTCCTATAAATACCTAAATCATTCATTACATTTAAGTTCTAATTTTTTTGGTTTTTTGGGCCAATTTAAATTTAAGTTGTTGTTGGATTTGAATTTAAGTTGTTGTAGTTTTTAAATTTAAATAATAAATTATGTTTGGCCCTCGATTGGAGACGATTTTTTGTGACAGAGCTGGTCAGCGGGTTCGTTTTAGTTCTCTAGTTCTCAAAGAAATTACTATTTTAACGAACAGTCCAGGGTCATATTTCTTACCATCTCCAACCGAGGGTCAAAGGGTCAAACATAATTTATTATTTAAATCTGAAAACTACAACAACTTAAATTAAATGAAATATTTAAAATTAATTGTGAAACACTTACTTCGTCGTAGTAATTGGCGACGCTTTCATGTCTACTTGCAGCGGTTAACAGTTGTATGTTAAATTAATTTTTTAATTTAAGTGTCCAATTATTAGTACAACTTAGTTTGAGATAGTTACATGTATAAATGCACATTTACCATCTCTAATAGGAAGCTTATATTTGGGGCAACCCATTATATTTGTCCCACTATCGGGAGAGAATTGAGTAAGAAAAAGCTTGCATGTGTGGCACCCATTATATTTGTCCCACATCGGCTGTGGGAGAGGTTTGAGCAATCAAACATACTTATAAAAACAACATTCCCACCCAGAACCAATCACCTTTTTAGGCCTTAATTAAATATTCTTTTTAAATTTTTGGCCCAAAAAAAAAACTATAAAATAATAATAATAATAATAATAAATAACGGCTAGCTGACATCAGCTAGCCGTTGAGATTCAAAATTTTTAGCCTCGGCTGGCTGGCTCATTTGGGCCTCCTGGTTGGCCCCTTGCCCTTTTTTTGTCTAGTGGGGCCCACAAGCCCTTTGGCCTGATTCTAGGTTGGAGACTGTTTTAGGGCTATTTTCGACCCTATGAACCCTTCGGTTGGAGATGACCTAATAATTGGTAAGGAAAAAGCCATAGCTAGTTTCATAGTAACACTAAAAAGCGACCTCAAATTAATAAGGTTCTTTGCTTTGTGAGGATCAGGAGAAGGCACTCGCTGAGATACATAAATAGGAGCGAAGCAACTTGGATTGACTCGATATTCTATAACTACAAATTTTGTAGTGACACAAGCTTGGAAATGCTTACTGAGAAAAATACTTATGATTCAAAAAGTATTTTAGGAGATGAATTATATCAATAAACAAACATGTTTTATCATGAATTGATTAATAATATTAAATGATATTGTGACACTTATATCGAAAAATGTCTCATACTATAGGTGTAACATCAATAAACAAAAAGAAGTGTTGTATCATGAATTGAATGATAATATTAAATGATATCATGATAGTTACACCGAAAAACTTCTCATACTATCAAGTACTTAGTTAGAATTATGATACATCCATAATTTAATTCCATCTCAATCCAATTACGTAACAAAAGAACAAAAGGAGAGGACCATAATATGGAGGAATTTTTCAAGGTGGGGCACACAACTTGGTATACCAAAAATGTTATAGTACAAATGGTTGAAATTTTTTATCTTTTCAATCACTTATATTATAACACGTAGTGTACAAAAACGTGTTCTGAAAACACTGAAAAGTCTTCTACATAATATGGGCCAATGCTTTCTCCGATTTTTGGGGACATAAGAAAGCCCATGGTATAGCACTCAAATATTTTCAGGCTTTCAGCCGTATGGCCCAACCAAATCTGTCATAAAACAATCATATTACAACGGATGAGGATTCTCTTTGTAGCGATTTTAAAGATTCTTACATTCTAATCGTTTATTGTATATAATACGATCAATTTTCGTTAGTTACTATTTATGTTTAATTTTAAATAATAAAATTTAAACAATTTTTGACCGGACTGAATGGTTAAGATCTGAGAATCATAGGATTCTACTTTTCTTTTCGTAACGACACCTTGCGGAAAGGGTCACCGCTTTCGTGAATCTCGAGTGGAAAGAAAAGAAATCCATGGAAGTTGCAAAACCAAAAGGTGTTGAGATCGCAAAGGGACACGTAACAGCAAGGCCACATGGCGCCCCACGACCACCGAGCTCCGCCCAACAAAGACCCAAACCCAAATCCACCACCACTTCCTCTCTTCCTCCTTGCCGCAAGAAACGAAAGCCCACCACCAATTTCAACATGGACCTCCACCACCACCACCACCACCACTCCCCACATTTCAAAATTCGCGCTCTCGTTCATCGGCTTCGTCCCCGATTTATTGAGGTAACAAAGAGAGAGAGAGAGAGAGAGATAGAGAGAGAGAGAGGAGAATAGTAGAAATGTTTGAGGGTTTTGTATAATATTGATTGATCTCCACGCCAGATTTTCTTTGTTTATTTTTGGATCACTAATGTTGTGGACGATCAATTTTTTATCTGTATGCAGGTTCTTCGAACACCGGATTTTCGGAATTGTAAAGCGGCTGATGAAATTCGAAAGGGTGAGTTTTTATAGATATATAATTGCATTCCATATATGTTCATGGAGTACTTGGCCTACATTCTACTCTCTTTCCGTCGAGGTTTCTCGTATAAGCGGTGTTCCTTCATCTGAAACTCCACTTGTAATTACCGGGATAGTTTGAACTTGAAGCATTTAGCATTGTGGCTATGCTCGCGCGAAAGCACGATAGGTTGATCGATTTCATTCAGTGTTTCATGGGTTGTAGTTGATGTGCAGCAAGTCGATTTGAATTAAAATTAGTTTCGGATGCATGTTTGACAAAATCATGTAAACATACAACTTGCAGAACTGAATCTTTTGATGGAGCTACACAAACAGCTGGCCAAGGATACCGGCACACAGAGGAAGTTTGTGCCAGAACATCAGCATCCGGCACGTGACAGCGAGCCTGCGAAAGAAAACCAAGATGGGAAAGGGCCGCAGCAGCTTCAACCAAGGTGCTCAGTTCAAAATTCTGTACAAGGTAACAGTACTCGACCGGCTCCTCTCAGCGCAAATAAGAAACCAGTTGATTGCAAACTACAGGGAAGCTACATTGTGGGCGGTTCAGCATTTGGTTGGAACTTCATCACATTTTCCGCAGGACGGCACTAAACCAGTCTACTGTGGGGTGACGAAGGAGGCACATCGAAGCAGCAACGATCGATTAGGAGACGCTAATCTGGCCATAACGACCGAGTTTTCTGATTATTGTGCACCGTCTATAGCAGAGTGAGTTAGAAGCCGGCAGGTAAAACCGGTTGCTTTTGCATCTTATTAGGGAAAAGGCTACACATTAGAATGCTGATGGCAAAAGAGGTTTTGTATAGGACAATTTTGTGACAGACTTACTCATGATGGCAAAAATGGTAATCTGCTGCTACATTTTGGGACTCGGTTATGAAACACAAACTTTGCTTTTTTATATGATCCAATTTGAAATGGTTTGTCATTTTTACTACACTTGAAATGGTTGGCACAATTCCATAGGGATAAGTGTTTTTTGACAACTAAAAACGTTTCTGATTATGTTTTTTAATCATGAAAATGTTTTATGGTCAGTGAAAATATCGATATGGAAATTTTTTTCATATAAAAATATGAATGAATATACCAATATCGCTTGCTTTCAATATAAATTAGGAAAATTGCAACAGGTTGGGTGCAACAACTCATCCAGATTTAGTCGAAAGTATAAAAAAAAAAATATATATATATATATATATAATAATTCAAAATTTTAAAATTTGCGATGGGTTTTTGTAGTGAAATAATAAATATCATTAGTATTCATTGATTTTTATCTTGCTGATAAATGATAAAGTTTGCATTTCACGCCCATTTTCATATTGATTCTTGATTTTTCAGATATTTCGTGAATATTTTTAAAACTGTTTATAGAAACACTGCCAACAGATTTTTCAAGAAACACTCTTTTAAGTTTTCATAAAAAATTGAACATGTTTTATTATTAATAAATAATAATAAAAAGTGTTACAAATAGTGTAGGATCAGAAGTCATGGAAGAGCATGATAGCATCATCAATCTTCAAAAGGGTTGCGTGCATAACATAAACCACATTTCTAAATCGTTGCCATTGTTTCCCTAATGGCCCCGTTCGCTTGTGCGCCGGGAGAAGTTGTACCTGCAATATGACACAACTTCGTTGTTCAGATTACGAACCGGAACCCTTTCAAAACTGAACAAACTAGAACCTAAACATTCCAAATTTTCACGAACCTCTTTAATTTGTTCATCCTCATATGCCAGTCGAAGAGTCAGATTCAGCGCAGCGTGGAACATCTCGTCTAAAACATGTTTCCATACAATGGGCTTGTTTACCTTCCACACCAAGAATTGTGCCTGTCTGGCTCCCGTCACAGCTAATCTCTGCAACGAGATGAAACATTGTGAATGCGTGTGCATGTGCGCGTGGGACGTAAAAAGGGAAGTGCTTTACCTCCATAAGCAAGTACTCATCCTTCCACAGCTTATACAGAATTGTGGGAGTTTCCTTCTTTTCAACAAGTGTCATATCTGAAATCTATAAGGTACTGGAGTAAGTAAACAAAATATCAAATGTGCTATTCTAACAACAAAAACGTTGACTCGCTTCAAACACTTTAAATTCCATGATCATTTTGCCAACGCTCGTAGTAAACTGACTAATTCATCATACAGAGTTCAGAGAAGAGCAAAATATAAAAAATTGTAATGATATGGAGGAAACATTCGGAGTTCCCAGCGAGGGAACTCATAACAACGTTATTACCTTATCCGTCTCAAGTGCACGACTTGAAGTCGACAGTAGCCGAAATATTTTATAAGCATCTCTCCCATATCTTTTCAAAACAATGGACTCCACCTGCAGAAAAGAAAAGGTACTTGGACATTGGTCCTGGTGAATAAAAATGAATTTTCATATTATCTTAAAAGAACAAAAAAAATCAGAGAAAAACCTCATCATTCCAAGCCAGCTCAAGAATTTTCTTCAAGTCTGTACAAGAACCAAATGTGTCAATGAAAACCCAGTACAAACTATTACTATATTATCCATAAGAAAGAAGTTAATAAGAAAGAAGTTAAAAAAAAAAAAAACAGAAATCGATTGTATGAGAAGAAGCAGATTGTACCAACACTATATGACTCATCCTCATCTACATCTCTTTCATCGCACAACAGGCTGAGGGAAGCTTTGACACGATCACATGTCAAATTACGACCAGCTTCACTGTTTATCACCTCCTCATAAATAGTACTAAATGATACAGGAACTGCAAAATCAATCAGCAAAACAATGAATGTAACTATTCCTTGGTTTCATTTATTAAGCTTTCACGCTTGGTCATACTCCTCCCCAATTATTATCATTGAATTGTTTGTATTTTAAGTAATTCTGAATCAACGCTTTCTTGGCCTATAGAAATCATTAAGGTTTCATGTTATTTCTAAACTCATTACCACTGCCAATGCCACATTAATTCTGAATCAACATTTTGTTGGCCGATAGAAATTGAACTGCAATAATCCAAACTTCCAGTTTACCTGAATTTTCTGTCTTTACTTTCTTTTCTGCAGTTCTAGTTGACTTAAGCATTGCCCTTAAGACAAGTGCAGCTCCATCATCCAGACGTGCTCTCACAATCTCAATGCAAACCTAGACGATGATATGAAAATTTATTTTCACTTCAGGTAGACTATGCAATAAAATAAAAATAAAAAGGAATGCATCTCAGAAAAAAATAAAGGTCGAGTATGGGAACACAATTAACAGTGCAAAGAAAGAACTCAGGTAGTATTTGGACATTCCACAGAGGATTGCCCTTTACATAATTAATTCCTTTTTGTCAACCAAGCAATGCCCATTTGGATGTTCAGTCTAATCCAAGGTTCATTTCCATGAACCAAACGCTACTTTATAATTACAAAAGAGAGAAAAGTTTGAATTTTGAACTCAAATGCAAACCTGACATGTAGTTTTCGAAAAGCATGGCAACATTTAACTCACTCTTGACATGTAGTGTCAATACAGAGCATCCACATAAACGAAATTCAGATTATGCCAAAACATTCTCAACATATATTGTTTAACTAGAAAATCCATCAGCTCTCATTAGTATAAATGGATAATTATAATTCAAATAGAAAGCAGAAAGAAAACCAACCTTGTGCCTTAGACAGCGAATGAATTCCTCAAAATTAACACGCCAAAGAACCATTTCATTATTAGCAAATTCTTCATCCAACTCCAAAGCATCATGCTTGCGCTATAAGTTCAGAAAATAGCACATTAGGATGCAGTAGCCTTTTAACAACTCGCATATTAGAACAAACTATCCCTGGTGTCTACAAATGACCAGTACTTACACCAACCTTGTCCCTGGTACTCATACTACCCCCATGAGCATCGGTTTCAGAATCTGTCAGGATTGAAAATCTCATAGCTCCTGAAGGTGCTGCTGCTGCTACAACACGTTGTTCTATTGTCTCTGGTACTTCAACAATCTGTTCAAAATCCAAAAATAATTTAATAAATATACACAATTTTTTTTAAAACAAACTAAAAAATGTGCAACTAAAGGAGGTGCTTAACCAAATATCTCTTTTCTTAATTCTGTAGCATATGAGTGGAGTATCTTTACCTTAGAAAACTTAGGACCTCGCTTCTTTGGAGCGTCTTTACTTGCTTCTTCAAGAACTGCTTCAGGAGCCGGGCAGCGTTCCACAAAACGAGCGTCCACAAGTTTAAGAAAGCTTTTCTCAACAGTATCCTTAACTGCATATTCTCCTGTTTTGAAAAATAAAACAAAAACCTTTCATTTACAAAACAAAAAACATAGCAACTTATGGGAACGGATACTAGTTGTACACTCAATCACAATGCACCCACTTAGTTGTAAATTCAAGCAAAAACAGTCAATAAAAAATGCAATCAAACACCGAGAAATGGGGTTACCTTCAGTTATTTGTTTAGTGTAAGTCTACCATTCTCAAGCAAATCTTTAATAATCAGTTCACACTGCAAAACAAATGAACAAAAGGCAGTAATCTGAAAATTGCTCCCTTAAAAACAACAAACCAAAGTCAAAACCAAAAGAGGTGAAAAAAAATTAACCTCTTTATCGAACTCCTGTGAAACAACCGTCATGAATTTGGAAAACCTCCCTCGATGAGTATGTTATCGAACAGCGCTACATACTGAGTGAATTTCGGACCCTCTGAATCACATTCACAACAAACATTCACAAACCAAGTCACACACTTTAGCATGCACATTGATCAAATCAATCAAATCCCAAAAGGGGACACAAAAATATCAAAGAACAGTAAGATTTATAGGGTTAGGGTTTGAGAGAAGCACCTGCTTGGTCTACGGAGAAGGGCTGAACGCAGTTGTGCTGGATTAGGATGAGGAGGGAGTTCTTGACTTGCTGAGGGGTGAGCTCCGTGAACCCAATTAGGATTTTTAGGGTTAGGGCTCCTCTTTTGAGAAGACTTTCACACACTTTCTGCATCCGGAAACAAATTAATCACTAATAATTACAGAAAAATTAGGGAAAAAAATTGAGGGGAAAAAGGTGACAGCTTTGGAGAGAGAGAGAAAGAGAGAGAATACAGCGACGAGATTGCCGAAGTGGGAGGTGATGATGTGTACGGCGTACTTGACGCCGAAGTGGGTGGCCGGCATCCTCTTCTTCTTCAGTTGACGAGCGGCAAAGATGGGCGGGAAATAATCGGAACTCAGAAAGCTGCACAGGCGAGAGTTGCAAACTTGCAGGGTCTCTTTTTTTTTTTTTTTGTTTTTTTTTTGGGTTTCTTTAATTCAAACAAAGAAGGCCCATCGAACCCTAGTAAGCTAACAGCCTAACACGGGTCGATAAAGAAGGCCCAAATGTTAACCGTTAGTTGGTGGTCCGTAATTTGGGCCTAATGACAGCCTCTATACTATATTTGTTCAGAGAAACATCAACTTTTTTTTTTTGGACAGAAAAGACATCATCTTGATTCGTTAAATTTAAAGGAAAATAATTATCGTTGGATCTTTTTCTAAGGATCTCATGATCTCATTCGTTCATCTTATATCGTGTGGTCAGAAATTATTTAAAAATTTAAAATTAAATATGAATAGTACCTAACAAAAACTAATCGCACGATATACGATAAAAAACTAAGATCATAGGATCTCTAGGAAAAGGATCCGGTCCAAATTTAAAAGCATTGTTACTTTTGTAAAGAGTTTATAGCTCACTTTATTAGAGCATCCGTTACCTAAACCCGAGATCCTTACTTGGATTCCCTCTGTCTTCATTATTGTTTGTATGGAATAAAAATATCACCGATCACCTTCTGAATTGATGGAAAGTTTAACAAATTTACTTCAAGGCGATGTACTGAGATGACGTCTCTCAGATTTTTTATTTTAAGT